CCCCCTCCTCCTTCCGTCCCCCTCCTCCTCCCTCCGTCCCCCTCCTCCCTCCGTCCCCCCCTCCTCCCTCTGTCCCCCTCCTCCTCCCTCTGTCCCCCTCTCGTCTGTCTGACCGCTGTCCACACTGGTGCAGGAGATGCTGAGCTCGGGGAGGGGGGCAGGTGTCCGACTGGTACCGTCATTATGATTTGCTCATTTATTCTGCAGGCTGTCCTGTTAGTTGAGCCCCCGGAAACCCTGACGGTCTGTCTGTGCCACTGGGTAAAGTGCCTGATGGACGGGGCCCGGGACGGGGCTTGGGGTCCAGCCGGCTCACGATGTGGGACGCGGGCCCTCCCTGTCCTATTTCTCGGTCATCTAATGGCAGAAAGTAACGTTTCCCGACTTCCTTTTGGATTAAATATTTATTCTGCACATGATAAATTAACTCAGCCACAGAATAACTTCATCAGCACGTCGACTCCGCGGCGTCTGCTTTGCGTCCTATTGATTGTGATTTGCCTGGTTTGGAAAGACCTTCTCAGTCTGGCTGATGTGAAATTGTTTAAACCCTGGAACTTGCATTCTTTCTCCAAGGCAGAAAAGGGGAGTTCCAGCCAATCTCGCTGGTTGTATTTATAGCATTTTATTTCCTGAGAGAAGACAGGAAAAGCCAGCGCCTGCCTTCCTCCCTTCCGTGGCCCCTCCTCTGCCGTCCCCCAGCTGGAGGGGCCGGCGGGGCGGCCCCAGCACCCGTGTGCCAGGTGCTCAGAGCGAATGCGAGATCGGAGGGGGTTAGGTCACTCCTTCGAAGGATGAAGTGAGCGCGCTTCCTCCCGGGGTGACTGACAGCGCCACCCAGGAGACCAGAGCGTATAAAGAGGAGCCTGCTGCCCGGCGGCCAGTGCGGTGCTGACCCGGCTGCTCGCAGGCCACGGACGTGGTCCTCCGGGCTCGGTCCCCAGCCCCGGTCGGCTCTCACCGCAGCTGTTCTTCGTCCCAGGTGAGAACTTTATACGGCATTTACCTTATGAAAATTATTTTAAAAATCATTGCATTGTACTTCAATTTTCAGAAAAGGTTGTTTTGGTTTCTAAGGAGGGAGAAGGAGACAGTGGCAAATCGGTCTCTGCTGTGAGGTGGGGGCCTGACTGTTAGGGCGTCCGCAAGCCTGGGGAGGGGGCGCAGGCCAGCCCCGTGTGGGTGCCGCCAGCTCCTCGGCTCTGTCCCACGTCCTGGTAACTTGTGCGAGCGTACCTGCCTGTGACCCAGCCACACGCTTGTGTTCTCAGCCGTGCTCGTCATCGACGGGGGGCCCTGAGGGGGGCGGCAGAGGAAAGTCCTCCTGAAAAAGTGACGATAACCGCCAGAGGGGTCACAGACGCCCCACTTCTAAGCGTCACCACAGTTAAAAGTGTGTTTGAATGTCAGGAATGAAAAGTATACACGGTGGGTCTGAGGAGCCTGGGCCCGCGGCTGTGGCTACGCGTAGGGGACAAGCGGCCCCAGAGGCGCTGCGGAGCCGCGGGGACAGGAGGCTCCCGTGTAATCGAGCCCCCGAGGGAGGGGCTGCACGCCTCTCTGGCTACTGTGGCTGGGGCTGCTCGCGGGAGCGGGCGTTAACCCGTCTGTACGTGTTCTCAGCACATTCTGCTGCAGACTCGCTGGAGAAAGCGGAGCCCTAGACACACACTGTGCATCCGTGTGCCCGACTGCGTGTCGTGGGGCATGACACGGCCTGGGCGCTGCCGTGGACTCTGGCCGTGGACGCGGAACGGCCGCCGGCGGGTCCTGGCCCTGCTGGGCCCCTGCTGCCGTGGCGCGCCCGCCGGGCACCGTGGGTCCTTGTCGCTCATGTGCCCGACGGCAGAGCGTGGATCCGCTTTCGGGGGGCGGACGGCTTGGTTGTGTTAGAGCGGCTCTCAGTTCGCTCTGTTTGGGCTGACACGCGGGAAGCTGGGCCTCCGGAGGTTGAAAAAGCCCATTTTGGACACAGCTGGTTTCCAGAGCCGGCTGTCGCCTCTGTCTGCAGGGACAGACAGCACGCATCTGGTCGGGGACACAGGGACGCGTTCCAGACGCACTGGAACCACGCCCGGGGCGCCCCCTGGGCCAGGTGTGACGCTGAGCCCCTCAGTGTCCACACTCGCAGTTCAGGCTGCCGAGGACCCTATTCACAGCATCGCGACCTCACTGGAAGGCCACGGGAGGGGTGGCTCGGGGGACAGCCACGGGCGCGTTCGGCGCATGTCCACGTGCCCAGCGTGCCTCGTGAGCCTTTACAGTATCAACTCACTGGACTCACTTCTCACAGCGACCCTGTCAGGCACAGGCTGGAAACAGCTATTTTTCATTGTGCAGGTGAGGAAACTGAGGCAGGGAGGTTGGGCCTTGCGGCTCGGAGCCCGCCAGCCTGGGGCTTGCCCGCTGGGGCCGGCCGCCTGCGGGGGCCACGTGAGGGCAAGCGGGCGTGGGACTTGTCTGTGGAGAGGCTGTGCGCGGCGGGAGTCGGGGCTCCGGAGGGACCCCGGGGCCTGCGAGCAGCCTCTTCTCCCGGGGAGCATTCCTCCGGCCCGGGAAGAGGACTGTTTCCAGTTTACCAGATGCTTCTGCGGGGTACACTCCTCAGGGGTTCCGCAACCCCGAGACGCGCGAACGAGCTTTGCCGTCATCTGAGGGGAGGGTTGGGGTCTCGGTTTGGCTTTGATTCAGAGCAGGGTGCCGCCCACTGCTGGGAGAGACCTCCACGCCCCACGCGCCCCTGCGAGATGCCTGCGCGGAGCTCCGAGGCGGGGCAGGGGTTAAGAGCGGAGCGGGCTTCCGTCCAGGTCTCCTGACTCCCGGCCCGGCGTCTGCTGGCCTGAACCATGCCAACTGAAAATCCTCAAGAATGGAAAAACAGGCCTGCAGGAAAGTAGAGCAGCCGAGTAAAAGTGATTGCTAAGTAGAATGCTATGTTTTTCTGTGGTCAGGATACACCAAGCTCAGTTTATTTCTCCTGCATCCAGTTAAGGTTTGTTCTATTTACATGAAGCCCAATTTTTTCCTCTTGGCCATTGACTCAGCGATGCCTCCATAGATTATTCTCTCCATGGTGCTGGTATGTTTCCAAATTCGCACATCCTGGGTTTCAGTCCCGGCCACACTCCTCACCAGCGGCACTTAACTCTTCCGGACCTTCACTTATCCATCCGGAAAATGGGGGTGATAGCAATAGTATTTGCTTCCTGGGTCATCATGAGATCAGATGATGTGAGCACCGGGACTGTGATCAGCACCTGCTCTGCTCTGTCAACAAATGCACACCCGACAGACAGGAGCTCGAGTCAGAAGAGCCCCACTTGGGAAGCTCATTTCTTATCTGGCTTCTACCTCCCACAAAGCTGCATATTCTTGATTGTGGTGCACAAACTGCGTAAACGTCCATGAGAGCCAAGTCTCTGGCTGACACTGGAAAGTGCTGGCAATTGCTGTGTGGTGTGTGCCTGCGTAACCGGGGCCTGGCTTCTCTGCAGGGTCCCGCGGCCGAAGGCAGGATGCTCTGGAATCTCGTCTTGCTCGCCCTCTGGGCCGCGACCGGTGTGCGAGGTGAGTGTGGACTGTGGCTCTGCTTGTCGGGGCCACTCTCGCCCCCGCAGGTAAGGCCATGGCTGTGGTTCCTACCGGGTCACACGTTTGGAACTTCCTTTTAAATGAATATTTACCTACCTTTGAATCCACATCATAGGAAATTATTTCTTATTTTTAAATCCTTTTGTTAAGTTTACTTATTTATTTATTTAGAGTGCACGTGCATGGGTGGGGGGAGGGGCAGGTTGAGAGGGAGAGAGAATCCCAAGCAGGCTCTGCACTGACAGCACAGAGCCCCACGCGGGGCTCGATCTCACAAACCATGAGATCACGACCTGAGCCAAAATCAAGAGGCAGGCACTCAGTTGACTGAGCCTCCCAGGTACCCCAGTAGGAAATTGCTTCTTTTGGAAAATCTAAAAACTCTTTTATCCAGAGACAAGGCATTGGCCATGCACAGTCAACTCTGTTATTTTTGCACACTGAATGTCTAACACCGGAAGCCTCGGTCTTTATAACTTCTTCTCTTCTTCCCACATTTTTTTCCTACTTGAAAATAGATCATCAATGTTTTCCCATGTGTTTATTTTCATACAACATGGCATTTAATGACGGAATAATATGCCCTCAAAAGACAGACCCTGCTGTTTTTTAGGCCAATCTCCATCTACGGCATTGCTCTGTTATCACCAGCATGAGCCACCCACAGGGAATCCGGTTGTGCATAAATCTCCCCTGGTATTTGAGATCATATCCTCAGAACAAGTTCCAAAAGGAAAGTTGCTGAGTCCAGCTTTTAATTATTTTAAGGATTTTTGACATATTTCCAAGTGGCTCTGCTCAGGTGGTGGAAGGCACACTTCCATCAACAGCTCCGGGAATGTCGCGCTTTGATTGGCTGTGCAGGAGATGAGAAGCCATGTATGGTTAAACTTCCTGCCCTTGAATTAGCTTGAATTATTTACACTGTTACATTTTGGGAAGGTCCAGTCATTCAGACGGTGGCTTCAAACCATCTACTTACAGACCCGAGGCTCCCTGGGGCATTCGGTGGGGGTCGTGGAATACGCTTCTGTAAAACAGGGACCCCAGTGTGACTTGTGTGAGTCGGACGGTCTCTGAGAAAGCAGTGTGGCAAGGATCAGACCCATTTTTTGGAAGGGATTTTTTCTGGGCAATCAGATGGTAGAGACAGGACTGCGCCTAAGCCTCAGACCTGGGCGGGAGAGCAGGAGAGAGCCCGGCTTGGGATGGGTTCCGGAAGGTGCGCCAGAGCCCAGCTCAGGGCGCGCCGCCTCCCTTACGGCGGTCCGGCTGCGGAGAGTGCCGGCCGATCCAGACGCAGCGCCTGGTTCACCTTCCGGCGCTCGCTCCCTGAGCAGTTCTGTGGAGCCGCGGCCGTCTGGGGGCCCCACTTCGGGGAGCAGCCAGGGAGAGGGCATGACGGCTTCCCTGCGGGGAGGGGCCGCCCGCCAGGTCCGTGCCTGTGGTAACCTCCCTGCTCTGTCCCCACGGGCAGCCGGCGGCCAGGACGAGGACACTGCCTTCAACCTTTTCGGCATCAGCAACATAAACCGGAAGACCATCGGGGCCAAGCAGTTCCGGGGCCCCGACCCCAGCGTGCCGGCGTACCGCTTCGTCCGCTTCGACTACATCCCGCCGGTGAGCGCAGATTACCTCAGCAAGATCGCCAAGATGGTGCGGCAGAAAGAGGGCTTCTTCCTCACGGCCAGCCTGAAGCAGGACCCCAAGTCCCGGGGCACGCTCCTGGCTCTGGAGGGCCCCGGCGCCTCCCAGAGGCAATTCGAGATCGTGTCCAACGGCCCGGCCGACACGCTGGACCTCACCTACTGGGTAGACGGCGCTCAGCACGTCATCTCCCTGGAGGACGTGGGCCTGGCCGACTCCCAGTGGAAGAATGTCACCGTGCAGGTGACAGAGGGGACCTACAGCTTGTACGTGGGCTGCGACCTCATCGACAGCTTCACGCTGGACGAGCCTTTCTACGAACAGCTGCGGACAGAGAAGAGCAGGATGTATGTGGCCAAGGGCTCGACCCGAGACAGTCACTTCAGGGTACGTGCCGCGGGGTCCCGGCCGGGGCACCAGGCGCGGGGACAGGCTTCGCGGGGGGCTGGCTGGCAAGGGCATCTCTTAGCTTGACGCCCGTGATGGCATAGGTCAGGCGTGGGAGACACAGCCCACAGACGTGTGCGGACCTGCACCATGTGTGGGCACACACATCAGCATGTGCACAAACGCACACACATGTACACACATGCACACAGACGTGCACACACCCAATCACACACATGTGTGCACAAATACTGTACATGTGCACACACTTACACTCACATGGACAATGCCATGCACATGCATACACCTGCACACATAGCACACACACATGTTATATGTGCACACACAGTTGTGCACACTCACACACCCAATCACACACATGTGCACACAAATATGGTACACACACATGTGTGTACACACCACACTCTCATGGAGAGCAACACATGCACATGTGAGCACACACAGAGCACAAATATCACATGTGCACACACGCACCCACAGATATGGACACACATACCTATGCACACACATACCCAATCACACACATGTGCACACAAACACTGTACTCATGTGCATGCTTACACACCCTCACTCCACAGACTGCACCACACACATGCACACGCATGCACACACAGTGCACACACACCTTTCTAAACCACAAATAAGGAGACCACATTGTCCAGGTGTGCCTTCTTACCTGGGCAAACGGCCATCATCTTCCCAGCTGAAGGCAGATTTGATGGCTGAAGAATCAGCCCCCTTGGAATATTCTGGTCATCTCCAGACTCCTCGTTTAGCACTAAGCTGCTAGGAGAGCAGATTAACAGCCATGATTTTTAAAGAAAAGAGCTGTTGATTTATGAGGGAATAATTCCGTGCTCATCTTAAAATACGACCATGTAAAAACATTTTTTGTAAGAAGAGTTTTCTAAAACCACATGGGGTTAGAACCTACCGTGCAGTGTTGATATGTCATCATGCGTCTTCTTGGGAAATAAATGTGCGTTCAAATTCAGTTATTTGAGTACAAGGCCAGCATCCTTGCCCAGTTGCTGAACTGACCTCTGGTGGCCGTCAGGAGGCTCCTGCGGCCCTGCTGTGCGAGCCGCTGACCCTCACGGCGCAGAAGTCACACTCACCTTTGAGAGAGATTGCCCACGTCTGGGCTGGCCGGTGTGCCCTCCCGAGCCCGTCAGACCCCAGGCTGACCACGACAGAGAGTTCCAGCCTGCAGCGTGTAGAAGCACAGAAACACACATCCGCGCTCGTTTAAGATTACGTCTTAGGTCTTACATCTCATGTACCTTGGCACCCAACGTTTGACGCTTGATGTTTCCTTCTCTCCTCACATCATTCCAGGGGTTGCTGCAGAATGTCTACTTAGTGCTTGAAAACTCAGTGGAGGATGTTCTAGGCAAGAAAGGTTGTCAGCAAAGTCAAGGAGGTAGGTGTGTCTTCAACAGTGTGTTTCATATTTCATTTCTTGTCTTGGATGGATTTCTACTATGGTGGGAGTGTGTATGCGCCTATGTGTGCCTGTGTGTGCCTGTGTGTATGTGCCTGTGTGTACACACGTGTGCATTGCAGCTCTCTGTGTGCACACATGTGTGCACGTGTGTATCAGTGTATGCACATGCATGCACGTATTTGTATGTGTGCCCTGTGTATCTCAGTATGTGCATGTATCTGTGCATGTGTGTGCCCACGTGCACCTGCATGTGTGTGAATGTGTCTGTACATGTATTTGTGTGCATTTGTGTGCGTGTGTGTGTGTGTATGTGTGTGTGTAGGGGGGCTGGTGGGGATTTGAGAAGAAACATTGTATTAAAGCACCATCATTGCCTCTGAAGGACTTAGCTGGTCACCTGAGACACGTTGATGCATCTGAAAATGCTAAACTGCCTGAAGGAGTAGTTCTGAGTATACTTTAGTCATACAGAATAATCCATCTGACAGCCCCAAGGCCAATCCCTGCCTCGTAACATGGCCACAGGCACATTTTCTGTCTGTTAGTGGGTGCGGATCTCTCCGTGGGAGACTCCATGGGTGTCTGTTCCACTGGGCTGGGGGTTCTCGTCACTCCTCGCGGCTGTGACACAGCCCTGTTCTGAAAACACGCCGGAACCGTTGATGGATGATCCCACACTGTGTGTTACTCACAGTCTGAATTCACCTCCAGCCACAACTTGCCTACATTTTCTTGAGCATCTAATTTATGAAGCTCACTCTGCTGGGCTCTTTAAACTCAGCATGTCACTGAATTTTCAGAACACCTTGGAGGTGGGCTTGTTCGTTTTACCGCAGAGAAACTGAGGCTCAGAGGCCCCACCACTGCCGGTGTGACCGCCTGTGCGCCGCCCCTCTGGGCTGAGTCTCCCAATATGGTCCATGTTGTGGTTTATTTGCACTGAGGCCCTTCCTCGTATCCACTGTAAATCATGACAAAGATAAATCGTTCTCTTACGGCCAGCACGTCAGGAATATGTAGGATGTGACGTCGAAGGCACAGGTGTGGCTCTGGGACCTGCACCCCCCAAGCTGGGAGCTCCCCCCAATAGCTGTGGGGATGCCCGCTCTGCTTCGGCCACGGGGGGTCCCCCACGGAGGCTTCATCTTTGTCTGAGGCTGTCCACCTGTCTGTTTGCACACCTTCCACGCTCGCTCAGTTGAACTGCAGGGCAGGTGAGGATGAGAGCAGCGACTTTGGCCGGACCGAGGATCTTCAGCGGCTCTGTGTGCAGCCCCTTGTTTGCCACGGCTGCCGTGGCTCAGACCTCACGCCGTGTCCACAGCCCCGCTAACGTGCAAACTATTGGCACGTGTGATTTTAGCCGCTGTCTTTCTGGGGGAGGAGGAGGTCATTAAAAAGCAAAAGTTTCAGGAAAGGCCAAGATCGTAAACAGACATCTGACTCCAACCCCTCCAGGAAGGCTCAGCGACACAGAGGGGAGTGGCCCTCGGGCCCCTGGCCGGCGGCCATGCTTGTGTCTGTGTAGAAGCCGAGCGTCATGCCTGGTGGTCTGTTCCACGGGTGGGGGGCACAGTTCACCCTTGAGGGGGGAGAACCCCAGCCCCGGCCCCAGCTCTGCCCCAGGTGGCTCTGCCGGGCTGACGCCGTGACTGTGCGGCATCGGCCCAGCTCCGGGGTCTGACTGAAATCAGGTGGCTGTGGGCCCGGGGGCACGTCTGCGGGCTCAGGGCTGTTCAACTCGATACCTACGTGCAGTGACTGATGCGTTTACGTCCGGGAGGTCTGTGCCCTCGTCCGCCCAGCAAGCCGAGGGAGCTCCCGGGGTCGGGTGACGGCGGCAAGGGCTGGTGACCAAGTGGTGCATCCCCGGCAGCGGCCGTCCTGACAGATCGGCAGCGGGCACAAGGCGTAGCTCAGCAGTGGGACTCGAGACAGACAGCGCACTGCACTCCCTGACAGTGACCGGAGTGGGCCTGGGGGACGCCGCCTGCTCCCGACTGGCCCACGTACTTTCCCGTTTGTGTCCTCGCCTCGTACGTCCCCAGTGAGGGCCCCAGGGGGTCTGTGCGGTTTCGGGGGCAGTGAGGGAAGACCCCGAGGTTGTGCTCCTGAGGGCGTCTGCCCTTCCCTCCAGAGGACACGGGAGTGAGGGAGAGGCGGGTGAGGCCTGGCGGACGCTGCTTAGCATGAGGACCGACCGCTGCGCCCACCCTGACGTGGAGCTAGTGGCCAAAACACAGGGTGTTTGGATAGATACCCAGGGTGCGTGAGGAGCTGGGGGCCACGGGATCTGCAGACACGTGCTGGGGACGTGTGCTGGGGACAGAGGGACAGCTGTCAGGGAAGGAGGTGGTCCCCCTCTGCCTGAGTCACACGCGGGTGCAAAGCCCCAGCCCCCGTGTTCTGCTCTTTCCTTCTATCCCGAGCCCACATCTGCCCAGCTGGCCTACCCGGTGGCGCCGCTGCCTGTGGCCAGGCCACGCTCACCTCAGCCCTGTGCTTTCCGCAGCTGAGGCCAACGCCATCAGCGAGAACACGGACACGCTGCACCTGAGCCCTCAGGTGGTCACGGAGTACGCGGGCCCGGGCGCGCACAGGAGGCCGGAGGTGTGCGAGCGCTCGTGCGAGGAGCTGGGCACCATGATCACCGAGCTCTCGGGGCTGCACGTCATCGTGAACCAGCTGCACGAGAACCTGCGGAAAGTGGTGGGTGCCTGGCGGCCGCCTCCGGCTCAGAGACGCCGCTCACCTGCACCCCCCCTCTGACGCACTGACAGGGCGTTTGGCCAAGCGCAGGGCGGCGGAGGGCAGGCGGGCGGGCGCGGACTCTGAAGGACAAACACCCATGGCTCCACGTCCTCCAGGACGGCCCTGATCCGGGGGACGCTCCCGTCCCCCAGCTGAGCAGGACGGGCATGGGAAGACCGGCCGCAGGGCCCGGGATGTAAGGGGACGTCGAGGAGGAAAATGGCGACTGGGGTCCCGGGTCCCTTCAGGCTCAGGAAAGGGCGCTGACCGGAGCCAGCCTCCCGGGCCACACGACCCCGAGACAGGCCCCAGCTGGGCCCAGGGGACGGGAGCACACGGTGCCTAACAGAAGTGACAGGGGCTGCGGGGAAGAGAGGCCGGGAAGGGCTGCAGGTCTGGGGTCGCCTCGCGCCCTGGCGGCGGCACGGAGCTGCTCGATGGATGTCCGTCCCCACCCTCTGCCCCACTGCAAGGGGCCCTGGGGGTAGGACCCGATCGCCCCTACTCCGAGGGCGGCAGAGGGTACAGCCAGGATGCTGCTCGGGAAGCACCCAGAGGAGGCTGGGCCCCTTCTAGAATTTTCCAGCACGAATGGGGGCAGGAGTTCGAACGCCACCACCGCCCGCACTCACTGCCTCTGGCTGAGCCCCCAGCCTTTGCGGGAGGAAGAGGTAGGGAAGAGGCGGCGGGCGGAGGCCGTGGGACCAGCCGCGCGAGCAGACCCTGGGGGCGCCGTGATGTGACCCCGTGTGCCGAGGCCTCACGTGGACCCGACTCTCCTCCCGCAGGGCAGGCGGTGCTGCCCCGGCCAGGGGCGGGCGCCCTGCCTGTGGAGGAGCCTCCTCTCCCGCCTGTGAGCATCAGGACGTTGTCTCGGCCCCACATAAACGTCCCTCAATCTTCCAGTCCAGCGACAACCAGGTCCTCTGGGAGCTGATCGGCGGCCCGCCCAGGACCAGGAACGTGTCCGCCTGCTGGCAGGACGGCCGGTTCTTCGCGGAGAACGAGACCTGGGTGGTGGACAGCTGCACCAAGTGCACCTGCAAGGTGAGGCCCGCAGGGCGCGGGGCCGCCCACCCCACGGCCGCTCGCGCAGGAGCAGGCTCCTGGCCGGTGTGTGCAGCTCCGGGCCGCTCTGGGGGGGCCGGGGGCCGGGCTACTGCCCGCACGAAGGTCAGTAGGTAAGTAGCCTCCTCCCTTGGCGAGCGCATCCCGCTCTCACCGGGCGGCCCGGGGGGCGCGCCCGGTCCCCCGGCCTGCGGTGCGCGGAAGGCCCTCCTCTGCTCCCAGGGTGTGCGGTGACAGCGTGGGGCCAGCGCCCGCCCCACCCTCCAGTCCCGCCCTCACCTGATGCCTGTTCTTGGAGGCGAGGGTCACACAGACGCCTTTCTCTGCTTGCAGAAATTTAAAACCGTTTGCCACCAAATCACCTGCCCTCCGGCGACCTGTGCCAACCCGTCCTTTGTGGAAGGAGAATGCTGCCCTTCCTGCTTCCACAGTAAGTGCGCGAGGAGCCTGGGGCGCCTTCTGCTTCCTGCCGCCTGCCTGCTTGTCATCTTCCCTGAGACCCGCAGGCAGCCGAGGGGGGCTGAGCGGGAGGCGGCGGGAGGGAGGCGGTCCACACCCAGGACCTCGGAGCTCAGGGTCCTGTCCTGTCACCTGGCATGGAGGCAGCTGGGTGTGGGGCCAATGAGCGGGGACTGAGTGCTGAGTGTCGGCCCTCAGCGCCCACCTTGACCAGCGCCTCCCGCAGCCTGTACCCGTGTCCTGCAGAGGAAGGACGCGGGGTGAAGCCCAGCAGGGGGTAGGCCCAGTGACACCCGCATCCTGGCGGGTAGGGTGTGCACTCACACCCCCAGGTCCCCACGTGTCACCCGCGTCCTGGGGGGGAGGGCGCCACACACTCACACCCCATCTCCCCACGTGTCACCCGCGTCCTGGGGGGGAGGGCGCCACACACTCACACCCCAGCTCCCCACGTGTCACCCGCGTCCTGGGGGGGAGGGCGCCACACACTCACACCCCAGCTCCCCATGCCATGGGGTCCAGGACGACGGCTGTGCTCAGGGTCCTCCCGGGCGGGGACGGCCTCTAAGGGGAGCTCAGGTCCCCACACGAATCACACCCACGCAGCTCCCCTGGGATGGTGCCTTCTTGCAGATGCCCCCCGCCCCACGCAGGTTTCCCGCCCACCTTCCCGCCTCAGCCCCTCACTGCTCTCCTGACCCCCGAGGCTCCTGCGAGCAGGCCTCCTCCTTCCCTGGGTGAGCGCTGGCCACACGGGGTTCCTGGGGCCCAAGGCCGAGGTCACAGGCTGGGCCTGCTGCGCACTGTCTCCCGCCCCCTCCCTCCTCGCGGGCCCTCGGGCTGCGGCTGGAGAGACGTGCAGCAGGTGGGCGCAGGCTGCCCCAGGCTCTGGTTTTCACCAGAACACGTTTCTGGGTCTTAGACTCAGGGTCTGTAAAATATGGGTGATGATCCCCACTGCCCGGGTCAGTTTTAAGATTAAAGCAGACGACGTCTGTGAGAGCCTGTGGCGCAGCTGACGGGTTAGATGTGCCACACGCGGGGGGTCGGCCTGAGTGGAGAACGGGCCCGCAGCGCCCTGGACGGAGGGGTCTGCCCGTGATCGCGAGGGTCTCTTCTCTCCCGCCTTCTGGAGCATGTGGTCCTAATGCGGCGCAGGAGCCCCAGACCTGGGCGCCACGGTGGGAAAAAGTGCCTTTTCTGCTCACCAGAAAGATCTCGCGCATTTAGTTGCTGTCTTCTCTTACTTACGGAATATAATTCCCTCTGAAGACTTTCTTTGCAGGAAGTTTCCTTTTTATTTAACTGGTCCCGATTTAAATTATTCAGCACTAAATTTGGTGACCTGTCATTTCAACCAAAAGTGGAAAAATTGCATCACCATATCTAACTCAGTAGCGGTTGAAATCGAAGCAAATCAAGTCTCAGCAGGTTCAACAAAGCCCAGTGTCGGCGTGACTCTGGACTCGTGTGAGCTGGGCTGAGGGCCCCCTTCCCTGACGCAGGCGGTCACAGCGGAGCGGCGTGCACAGTAGGCCCCCTGGCTTCTGTCACACTCCTCGGGGGTCCCCATGTGCCCTCCGTCCCGCAGGGTAGAGCAGCCCTGAGCCCCGGCCCGGGTTCGGGTGTCGCGTGCCTCAGGCATTCGCCCCACCAGGCACCCTGCTCGTGGGAGGGGGCGGACCTGCTCTCCGAGCGCAGCTGCCTCCTGGGCCGCTTCACGGCGGCCGGTCCGGTGGCCGCGGGGGGCAGAGGCCTGACAGCCCCTTGTGCTTCCCACCAGCGCTGGACGGCGAGGAGGGCTGGTCGCCGTGGGCTGAGTGGACCCAGTGCTCCGCCACCTGCGGGTCGGGCACCCAGCAGAGAGGGCGGTCGTGCGACGTCACCAGCAACACCTGCCTGGGGCCGTCCATCCAGACGCGGGCGTGCAGCCTGGGCAAGTGCGACCACCGCAGTGAGTGCCAGAGGCCTCGCCCCGTCCGCGGGGCGGGTCTGCACCTCGGGGCCGGGTCTCCGCTTGCGCGTGGGCCCCGCCTCGCCCTGACGGCTTTGCACCCCTCTGTGTGCTAGTCCGGCAGGATGGGGGCTGGAGCCACTGGTCGCCGTGGTCTTCCTGCTCCGTGACCTGCGGCGTGGGCAACATCACGCGCATCCGGCTCTGCAACTCGCCCGTCCCGCAGATGGGGGGCAAGAACTGCAAGGGGAGCGGCCGGGAAACCAGAGGCTGTCAGGGCGTCCCGTGTCCGGGTAAGCGGGTGCGGGCAGGCGCGGGCCACCTCAGCTCCAGTGGCCAGGCGGGCGCGCCCCTGGCCGGCCCCTTGCTGGGCGCCTCCTGACCGACGGTGAACCAGCTCAGTTAAATTACTGCTAATCCACAACTAAGGGACAAGTCAGCCTGAATCCTGGGAAGGTGACGGCGTGCCCTTTACCGGGGGCCTTGTAGACAGCACGGAGCAGGGCGGTGGAGGAGACTCTCGGGAGACGGGCCCCTGCAGCCTGCGGCCAGCTCGACCCAGGACCCAGGGTGCCAGGACCCTGTTCCGGAAGCCCTGTTCACCGAGTGCACAGACCGCGGGGGAAAGGGGTGCGCGGGGTGACGCCCGCAGCCGTGTTGCCCAGTAACAGGAGCCTGAGTCCTGGGGCGTTCCAGATGCCGGCACCCGGCACCCGGCACCTGGCACCCGCCTGTGTGGGCAGCTGTCCGCCTCTGGACCCCCGCCGGTGCGACATCTCCCCCGAGGCGCGGACACAGCCCGCTGGAGCCTGCCATCCACGTTACCCCCCGTCCCCGGGCTCGGGGTCGGGAAGGGATGCTCTCTCCAGTCTCCCTGCCGTGTCTGGAGACCCCGCTCCATCCCGGCTCCTGCCCCGCGAGCCCCGTGTAGGTCAGGCTCCCCGCTGACCCGCTGCGCTCTCTGCCCCCAGTGGACGGCCGGTGGAGTCCCTGGTCCCCGTGGTCAGCCTGCACGGTCACCTGTGCCGGAGGGATCCGGGAGCGGACGCGCGTCTGCAACAGCCCCGAGCCCCGGCACGGGGGCAAGGACTGCGTGGGGGACGTCCAGGAGCGCCAGATGTGCAACAAACGCAGCTGCCCCGTAGGTGGGTGTGCGGGGAGCCGGCCCGCCGCGTCCCCGTGGTCCGGACGCTTCAGCCAGAGGGGCCTCTGAAGAAGCCACTGGGGTTTTATTCTGGTTAAAATCATAAGAGTAGAAAACGTAATATAAAAAGTAGGAAAGTAGAAAAGGTAGAAGAGAGATTAGGTCTGAGCTCCTGAACTAACTGCGTCTGACGCCCTGCTCCTCCTCGGTGTCACGAACGCGCTGCGCAGCCGCGGTCACCCCAGTCGCCCGCGTGCCTGTGTGCCTCTCGCCTCCATCTTTTTACCATTTAGGGATAAGTTCTGGGAAGAGGGAAGTCTGAGGGGCGAGCACGTTGCCGGCATCGCCCTGAGTGACTCGGTTTCCCCCGACGGAACCGGGTGCTGCACAGGCGCCCGGGGGGGGGGCAGGAGGCTGTGTCCTGGCAGAGCCACCTGGGCGCCCGCCCGGCTGAGCCGCCCGTCCTCCCGCAGACGGCTGCTTGTCCAACCCGTGCTTCCCCGGAGCCGAGTGCAGCAGCTTCCCGGACGGGTCCTGGTCCTGCGGCGCCTGCCCCGTGGGCTTCCTGGGCAACGGCACGCACTGCGAGGACCTGGACGAGGTGGGCGCCCGCCCGGGGAAGGGGTGCCCGCGGGGCCGGGGCCGGGGCTCACGCCTGCTCATCCCGCAGTGCGCCGTGGTCACCGACGTCTGCTTCACGGCGGGCAGAGCCCACCGCTGCGTCAACACCAACCCCGGCTTCCACTGCCTGCCGTGCCCCCCTCGCTACAAAGGGACCCAGCCCTTCGGCGTCGGCCTGGACGCGGCCAGGACAGACAAGCAGGTGAGCGTCGGCCGCGAGCGCCGGGGGCGGGCGGGGAATGCCAGGTGGCCCCCCTGGGGGAGCAGGCGGGTGCTGACTCCCGGGAGGCAGGGCGAGGGCTGCCCACCAGGCTCACTGACCGGCCCCGGGGCGGGGCCGCCTGAGCTTTCCAGCAGGAGCCCGCAGACCGGGGGGCTTGGGGCTCAGGGTCGCTTCTGGAGAGCAGAGAGCACAGCCCCCAGGCTCTGGGGGGGGGGCCCAGCACCCCCGCCCTGGTCCCCGAACACCCACCTCAGACCCGCACGTGAGGGGCGGGGTCCAGTGCGCTAACCGGGAGCGCCCTCCCCGCAGCTGTGTGAGCCTGAGAACCCGTGCAAGGACAAGACCCACAGCTGCCACAAGCACGCGGAGTGCGTCTACCTGGGCCATTTCAGCGACCCCATGTACAAGTGTGAGTGCCACACGGGCTACGCGGGCGACGGGCTCATCTGCGGGGAGGACTCTGACCTGGACGGCTGGCCCAACAAGAACCTGGTCTGTGCCACCAACGCCACCTACCACTGTGTCAAGGTGAGGGCCGGGGCCGCTCTGCTCCGCGTGCCCGCCTCCACCCACCCCAGAATCCCTGCCCCCGCTCCCCGTGCCCCCCAGGAATTCCCACTCGGGGCCACGTGCACACAGCATGTTGGTCTGAAGAGCTGGGGGTGCGTGAGGTTCCCAGGGGCACCCCCACCACACGGGGCTTCTGCTCTCGGGGGGACTTGCTGGAGAGACTCACGTTTCGCTCACCTCTGTGGGGCTGGGGAGCTGGGGCACCAGCCCTCCGCGGGCCGCAGGTATGGCCCCAGGGGCTGTGGCTCTATGGGACCGGGGTTCCCCGCAGACCTGTCTGGAGGCCACCCTGGAGCTTCTGAGGCCCAAGGGTGAACGCAGCTGAAATACGCGCTTCAGCACCCGCAGCGCAGGCTGGAATTACAACGCGGTTGGTTGAGGCCAAGTGACTTTTCTAAGTCCGCCGGTCACGGCGGGGGGGGGGGGCACTGTGACCGCCCGCCTCGGCCTCTGACCGCACGTCTGTGCCCGACTCCCGGAGCCTGCTGGCTGAGGACGGCTCTCACTGTGAGCTGGCGCCCGGGAGGAGGGGGCTCCGGGGGCCCCGCCCCCTCCACGCTTCCAGCGCGGAACCTGCCCTCGGGCCCCTGCTCCCCTGGGGCTGCGGCTCGGGGTCCTGGGCGCCGGGCACCAGCCTCCCCAGTCTGGAGGCATGGGCAGCCGTACGGCGTCTCCAGGGTGGCCTTGAGGAGAAACGTGCGTGTCCCTCCCCCCCCCCCAGACTGCGGACAGCGCGTGGCCCTGACACTGCGCTCTGTGCCCGAGGGTTCACCCTCCTGCCCCCCGAGTGTTCTCATGACTCGCCTGCGCCCTCTGATTGCAGGACAACTGCCCCCTGCTGCCGAATTCTGGGCAAGAAGACTTTGACAAGGACGGCACAGGTGACGCCTGTGACGACGATGACGACAACGACGGCGTGGACGATGAGAAGGTGGGGGCGGCGGGAGGGGAGCTTCGTCCCGGGCGCCCGGGCTCCGCTGGGACCTGCATTCCCGCACACGCAACCCAGTGCTGACCGCGGGCCGTGTGCAGTGCGTGGTGACCCGGCAGCGAGTCCGGCCGCGGGCATCTGCACGCGGGGCGACCACCGCCCTCCCGTGGGTGCCAGTGGGGGGCGCCGCTGTCCCCGCCATGAGGGATGCGCTTGCCTTTACCGAAACCCGCACGTTTTCTGGGGAAATCGTCAACCCGCTGCCGTGACATCCACAGCAGGGACAGACCGCCCCTCCCTGCACAGCCTCCACCGCCCGCTGCCCCTCACTCGCGCACCTGGCGGCGGCAGATCCGTTGCCAGCACGACATTCGCTGCTGTGCCGCCTCTGCCGTAGGGAAAGCTCCGTTTCTGCGGGCAGGTGTGCAACTAGTTAGAAGGCGGTGTGACGCCGCGGAGCCGGGCTGAGGCTGATGGCTCCGCGAGCGGGTCGTGTCCTCCTCCCGCGGTGGGTGACTCGCCGCCAAGCGGGCGCCCTCCCGGCGTGCTGACCCCTCCCCCTGCCTCTCCGCAGGACAACTGCCAGCTTCTCTTCAACCCCCGCCAGTTTGACTATGACAAGGACGAGGTTGGGGACCGCTGCGACAACTGCCCGTACGTGCACAACCCCGCGCAGATCGACACGGACAACAACGGCGAGGGTGACGCGTGCTCTGTGGACATTGACGGAGACGGTCAGTCCTGCCCCGGCCGCGGGCGTGTGTCACGCTCTGTCCCTGCAGGCTGGTGCGAGGGTCATCGGTGCCTGGACTCTTCTCTCTGGAGCCCAGCCTCCCCCCCTGTCCTCCCCGGGGGCCTCGGAGGGGCCGCCAGCCTCAGGACCTCCCTGCAGGAAACCGCGGACGTGGCATCTTCCTGCCATGACCCAGGCCCCTAGCCCTGTGCCCTGTGTCTTGCACGCTTCTGTCCCCGTCAGAGCCCCAGGTGTTCATTGCTTTCTCGCCAAACCGCACCGGGGGAGACACATCTGACGGCTGTGCCTGTCTCCCTGTCCAGGAATATTCTGCCCTTATTTCTAACCTTTCACGACTCAGCCACGGCAAAGCACCTTGGGGGTCCCCGGTGTCAGGAGCCTCGACACCCCCAGGTCACATTCAGCTGGAGAGGCCGGTGCCCTGGAAAGGAGCCCATCTGCCCCAGAGGCGGCGGCCGCCCTCTGCCCCCGGGCGTCTGCAGGCTGGGCCGATTTGCGCCTCTCTCTATCCCAGCAGCTGCCAGAGCGCGTGCCAGCCCTTCTTGGGGGTCTGTTCCCGCTGCCCCCTCCCCTTCTCCCTCGGGCCCCACCTGGCCAGGGCGAGAGGCATCTCGGCCTGTCTTGGGTGTTCTTCCGGATTCAGCGACTGTGATGCTTGGCGGTGCCAATGGACAGGGTTGTCGCTACCCGCTGTAAATACACGTGTCTCACGGCCCCAGTGTGGCGGGGTTCACTGTCCACCCCCAGGGCTCTTAGAAGCGGGTACCGCACCTGCCAGCCTCGGCCTCGGGCACGCCCCTCCATGTGGAAGCAAGCCCCACTCAGGTCCGGGGGACTCACAGCCTCTGTTTGGAATGGATCCAGGGGGAAGAATCCACATGGAGAGCGCAGAGGTGACACGTGTGATTCCTCGTCATGCGGAATCATCCAGAAGCCTCCAAGAGTGGCTCTATTTTAAACCAAGGGAATTTGAGCTCTAATGGGAAACCTGACATATGTTCTTCCATGAGCCTGATGATGTGTACACTTTCTTGTATTCTTAGCTCTGTTTTTATGAAATCCAAGCTTGGCTGTAAGTTACTTAATGCAGCGGGGAGCTCTGTGTTTGTTCTAAGCTGGTTCCCGTGTCCCCTGCACCCCTGCAGACGTCTTCAACGAGCGGGACAACTGTCCCTACGTGTATAACACGGACCAGAGAGACACGGACGGGGATGGTGTGGGCGACCACTGCGACAACTGCCCCCTGGTGCACAACCCTGACCAGGTAACGGGTTCCATGATCTATGGGGTGTGTGTGTGAGCAGCAGGGGCGTCCTGGGACCTAATCGTTCGTGGGTATATGCGTCGTGGCTTTCCATCAGCTCTGCCGTGACAGGACGACATAGGCTTTTCAATAATTTTAGTTGAAAACATTTACTGAACCCAGCACTTCAATCTCAGTGGCCACAGCGGCTGAGTGCGTGGGGGGCCCTTGCCTCCCTGTCTGAGGGGAACAGGGCACCCACTCTCTGTCACCCACCTATGTCCCTGCTGGGGACTGGCTTCTCCTCCAGACTTGCCTCTGGAAGATACAGCACAAAGGTGCTGCTGTCGTGCGTGGAATATAAGGTTACAGACAATGTCCCAAAGTCACGTGCTTCTCCGGCCTTAATTCTTCCCTCTTCCTTCGGGGAAGCGAGTCCATGTAGCTCGGTCGCGCAGGTGCTGCTCCTGGTCTGGGACTCTGAGGCTCACCTACAGCGGGAGGCGGCCCAGCCCCAGGGTCCGTGGCAGGGTCCAGCCCGGGGTCCGTCCACCTGGCGGGTGCTGAGCCGGGTGCCTACTCTGTCCCCCAGACCGACATGGACAACGACCTTGTGGGAGACCAGTGTGACAACAACGATGACATCGACGACGACGGCCACCAGAACAGCCAGGACAACTGCCCCTACATCCCCAACTCCAACCAGGCGGACCACGACCACGATGGCCAGGGCGATGCCTGTGACTCGGACGATGACAACGACGGGGTCCCAGACGACAGGGACAACTGCCGGCTAGTTTCCAACCCAGGCCAGGAGGACTCAGACGGTAGGCGCCCCACCCCCTCGAACTGTCGGTGCCCCACTTCGGAAGGTCGGCGCCCCGCCCCCTCGGACAGCAGGCGCCTCGACCCCGTGCGGCAGCTCAGAGCGCCTGCCAGCACAGCCACAGGCTCTGCACCAAAGCCATCGGTGGTCTCTGCAGAGACATACCCGTCACAAGCAGGATGAGGAGGGATCTGGGCTCAACGAGGGTTGGGGATTTATTCTTTCAAGGACAAAGCAAACAAAAATGGGGTGTGAACTATCAGGAAAAGGAACAGTTTCCTGGCAGTGGCCCCCCACCAGTGGGCTGCCTCAGGGCAGGGTCTTGAGGGAGTGGGGCCATGGGGAGGGTCTGGAGTAGACAGTGAGGTGCTCGCTGGGCTTGGGGTCCCGCAGGACCTGTGGCTTAGGGGCCTTAGAAGGTGGCTTAGGGGCCCCGGGCACCTGTGGGCGGCTCAACCTTCCAGATGGAGACTGGGTGTGGGTGTCTGAGCCAAAGTGACTCACAGGCGAGTGGGGGACCCGGGATCTGAGGGTGGCTCCAGGGGTCACCGCAGAGCCACGTGGGCGACTCCAGCAGGACACAGCCTTTCTGGATGCACGCACAGCACTCAGCTCAGGAGCCAGCCTTCTACCATGCTTTCTCATTCTTGGCTTTCCACTGGCAGGTGACGGGCGCGGGGACGCTTGCAAAGACGACTTTGACAACGACAGCATCCCAGACATCGATGATGTGTGTCCGGAAAACAGCGCCATCAGTGAGACCGACTTCAGGAACTTCCAGATGGTCCACCTGGACCCCAAGGGCACCACTCAGATTGACCCCAACTGGGTCATTCGCCATCAGGGCAAGGAGCTGGTGCAGACTGCCAACTCGGACCCCGGCATCGCTGTCGGTGAGCCTTGAGATTCACAGCACCCTTTTGTGGTTCCTGGGGGCACGGTGCCCATGGGGCATGTGGGATGCTCTGTAGAGCCATGAGGTGGGGTAAGAGTGGTCTCTTCGGGGACCCCATCCTTCCACACCTGCCTAAATGGTCTTGACAGAGGGACTGGGGAGGCAGGCATTCATGATGCCATGTTCAGTAAGCCATTTTATTCTATGGATTTGATATATAAAATATTGCGTAATATGATAATGGTCTGCCAGACTCAGGAAGTGGGGTCTGAAAATACTAAATCCCCTACATTCATTAACCCCAGAGCCACAAAAGCTGAGGCGGATGGAAGGCAAGCACCCAGCCCAGCCTCCTCACGCCTTCGCCCGCTGATCCCGGGGCAGCTCCCGCCTGACTCTCACGACTGAATGTTCCCTCTGACATCCAGGTTTTGATGAGTTTGGGTCCGTGGACTTCAGTGGCACGTTCTACGTCAACACCGACCGGGACGATGACTATGCCGGCTTCGTCTTTGGCTACCAGTCCAGCAGCCGTTTCTACGTGGTCATGTGGAAGCAGGTCACGCAGACCTACTGGGAAGACCAGCCCACGCGGGCGTACGGCTACTCGGGCGTGTCCCTCAAGGTGGTGAACTCCACCACGGGCACCGGCGAGCACCTGAGGAATGCGCTGTGGCACACCGGGAACACGGACGGCCAGGTGAGGGTGGCCAGGGGCCAGGAGCCCACTCGAGAGGCGATTCTTCCCCGAAGGTGCCTCGCCTTTGCGTTTTTGTTATTTTTGACTCAAGTTATGATAATTTTAACAACCTTGTATCGGCACCTACCTGGTTAGAGATGCCATCCTCATGCTTCTATAAACACAATCAATGACCCTCTTGTAAATCACATGTGCGTCTATCCTCTCCCAGAGATAAGGAGAACTGGGTTTTAAAAGGGTAAGAGTTTTGCCCAAGGCTCTGTGTCTAGAAGGCAGGGGATTCAGAATTGGCGTCCACGGCTCTGACTCGGCCACCTGTGCCGCTAGCACTGAACTGTGTGGCTCCCGCCGTGGACTTCAGTCCTCCCCCGACCTCACAGCAGCGTGAGCCACAGGGGCTCCCGGCTGTGCTGAGGCGGCAACTGAACCCAAGACGGGTGTTTCCTCAGGTGCGCACGTTATGGCACGACCCCAAAAATGTTGGCTGGAAGGACTACACTGCTTACCGATGGCACCTGACCCACAGGCCTAAGACGGGCTACATAAGGTGAGGGCACCCGTGCCAGCGACCCGCCCCCAGCATCCCCACTCACCCACGCTGCCCACGTGTCGGGGACGCATCAGCGCGTGTGGCCTTGCTCCCGCCCTGCCCCCATGCAGCTCGAGCCTAGAGGTGGGCCCAGGGCACGTGGCTTTGGTATCACCTGAAGGCCACAGGGAGGGAGGCCTGGCGTCCAGGCAGAGGGACCTGGAGGTGCCTGTCCCCTCTCCCCTCGCCAGGAGCTGTCTGGCTCGTGGGGCTGAGGACTGGAGAACACTCTGGCTGGGGCTCTGGGGAGGGCTGGGTCTTGGAGTGGCGCCCCGTGAGGACAGACCCCGTGCCGTCTGGCATTCACGCCCTGTTTCTCTCCCTGAACTCCGTTTTCAGAGTCCTAGTGCATGAAGGGAAGCAGGTCATGGCGGACTCGGGACCAATCTATGACCAAACGTACGCCGGCGGGCGGCTGGGTCTGTTCGTCTTCTCCCAAGAAATGGTCTATTTCTCGGACCTCAAATACGAATGCCGAGGTGGGTGAGCACACCGTTCTGTGGGCGGCTTGAGGCACAGACAGTGAGGAGGACACGCCATTTAACTTCCCTCCCATTAGAGCCACGAGCTGATGGCCACTGCTTTGTTTGGTAACGTGCACTGTGTTGTGTTTTCAATTGGACGCGGATGTCTCTGTGAGCAAACAGTTCCCAGTTATTCCCGGGCTCCATCCCATGAGCGTGCGCTCCTCACAGCCTCTGGGGCTCCGGCCGCATTTTACATTGTAGATCTCTACGCTCGCTGGACAGGGGAAGGAGGGAGGGTGGGAGGGAGGGAGGGGGAGGGGGTTCTCTGTAGTTAGCACTCTAGAAAGATGACTGGATCACAGTACCGCAGGCCTGGGAGGGAGCCCGCCCCCATCTGGGCTGACCCCATGGGGTCATGAAGACGTGAGGACATTCCCTCTTGCTGGTGAGGTCGGTAAGGCTCAGAGATGCTTCTCAAAAATAACGCATTGATAATTGCCCACAAAGGAAGAAAGGGAACATGAGAAACATCTGGTGAAGTTTGCTTTGCCGCCTGCGGGGCAAAGGCCTGATGTGTTCCACACGTGCCACCCTTTGCACATCTGTCTGTACTGTGGATACTGTTTTAAGTTAAAATGATGTTTCAGTTGCAGGTAAAACAAAATAAAAAGAGGCAGAACTCATGGCACAGCCGTCCTAATTCTGTGTATTGTTTTTTTGTTTGTTTTTTGTTTGTTTGTAGATGTCTAAACTAGACAGGCTGCACCTCCAGAAATGTACTGTAGACGCTGTTGCCTAGACCCTAGTCTGTGCTCGTGCTTCCGGCTTCGCTCTCTTTAGTGGCAGCTCCTGTCCTTGACCCTGACTTTGAGGGTCCTTCGCCAACATCACCCCGTGCCCAAACGCCTTCAGAGAAGACTGTGAGTGGGCCCCACAGGTGAACGTCCAGCCCAGAAGACAGCTTGATGATGTAGGAGACTCTGCAGTGAAAATCGAGCATGGAATTACATCGATTCTTGTTTGTTTAAAAAGAATGACGTTTACATATAAAATGTAATTACTTATTGTATTTATGTGTATATGGAGTTGAAGGGAATAGTGTGCGCAAGCCATTATCATAAATTAAGCGGAAAAAATATTGCTACACGACATTGAGTGCTTCAGCCATTTCCACTCTTGGGTCCGAGCTGCTACACAACAGCCGGTCCCGCGGGCTCACGGAGTCTGGAGCCGAGGGGTCAGGAGCCCTCGCACAACGTGGGGGCCGGCTCTCTAACTGGAACAGGAAGGGTGATTGGGAGGACAGACGAAGCCCCTTCCCCCGCCATCCCGCCCTATGGCGGAGTCAGGTCCTGATGGTCTCCGTTAGTGAAGTTAGCAGAGTGGAGGGGCGCCCCCCACGGCGGGCTGGAGGGAACTCTGGCCGCGCGACCCTGGGTTCTGCTTTCCGACGCCAGGCTCTCTGCGCGAGCTTTCCCCAGTCCCTGCCCCTGAAGCACGCGTCAGCAAATGCACTTTAGCATCTAATTCCTCCACTGGGCTTTGCAGCAACGCAGAAGTTACTTACCTAGTCTGGCAACACCTTTCATTAAGGTTCCAGTTATACGTGTTTTGTGAATATTTATTAAATGACTTCAGAATGCAGCTTCATTGACCAGTAACTTATTCTGAGCATGTCAGATAACATGTATAGCATGGTTTCTAGGGATAAACATTAACGCATATAACACAAAGGTCCAGTTACAACGAAACACCTTCCTGTCAAGATACAACCTTTACAATGTGCTGTTGTCACAAAAAAGCCTCAAATGTAAGGGAGTCCATAAATGAAGACGAAGACTCGATAAAGGAACCTTAATTCAGACTGTTGCCACGGCGCTGATCCGGCGTGTGTCCCTGTCCTCTGTCTGCTGTACGTAGGGTTTAAAACTTCAAATGCTGAAGAAAAATCAGCAACAAGCCTTACCAGACACACCCATTAATCAGTCATACCATGATACACACAATTTTTTTGTATTGTTTTTTGCTTTCAACTGCATGTTCTTTCTTCAGGAAATATTAATCTCCCTCCACATAAGGGGTTTGATAAGAGAAGTTTGTCTTCTCTGTCTGAGGCGGGCAAATCTCTCTCCCCTTTCTGTTGATAGTGATCTCGTTTCTGTGTGAAATACAGAGGATCCATAACTTTTGTCCTAACTTGCACATTTCATTCGATAAAGTTGTATTTGTTGCTTCCTTTGAGGTTGACTTTTTGTTTTGCTGCACTTTCGACTTATTCTGTGGAGCTGTGTCCCCAGACAGCGGGGGTTTGGGAACTGCACTAACTGTAACGGCCGCGGAGAGCGTGCGGGTGCCTGGGCTGCTGCCGCTCGGACCGACATCGCAGTGCTGCGCGATGGTGATGTGAATATTCAGAATGTACCATATTTTTGGTAAATTATTTATGTGTTTTTTTTTGGAACAAACTTCCGGATTGATGAAACTACATTTGTTTTGCCAAAGACTGTAAATATTTATTTATTTGTTCACATGGTCAAATTTGCACCACTGAAACCCTGCATTTCCTTAGCTAGAGCCTCATTTTTATACTTTAAAGATTAATAACAGGAAATAAATTGTAAAAAGGTTTTCTATAAATGAATCTCTCTCCCTTTTTTAAGAAGAATGAGCAGGGATCCTGATGGGGGGAGGGGAGACACGCCCCACTGGGGAGGGGGTGATATGGTGCCCCCTCAACACGAGCTCGTTGGCTTGCAGGTCCCGCCTGTGCCCCCCAGAGGCTAGGGTATAGGTGTGGGTCCTGCTGAGAAGGAAGCCCCACGTGGGGCAGCCCCACTGCCGAGCGGGACGCAGCCACGGGGCGTCCCCTCCCATCTGCCTGTGGCTTGTGCTGTGTAGCTGGTTTTGGGAAAGTCCCCGATGCGACTCAGAGAAGCGCGGACCCCTGGAGATGCCCGTTAGCGCAGTGGGGACTCCCGTGAGCTGCGCGTGCTCCAAGCCAGAGAGGGAGGTGCACCCGAGCCAGGCAGACACACAGACGCCCCGCGCCCCAGGGGAGGGGTGGGGCTTCTCTGGGATCCCAGCTGCCTTGTGGGGTTTCTGAGGGTTATGTTGGAGTCAAATATAGCGGGGGACCTGGGCGTTTGGCAGAAAGAAGCGGGACGGACTCAGATGCTGGAGCTACGAGGCACAGGACCGGCTGGGCTGCTGGGGGGCGGGAAAGCCCTGCTTCGATCTGGGGGGGCCGGGGGGGTTCTGTGACATAACGTGGGGGGAGCACGGGACCTATGAACCTCAAACAGGAGCCTTTGACAAACTGAGAGAGAAGTCGGTTCAGGCAGTGATTTGGGTTGGGCGGTGGAGCCTCACACACATTTTACTGCAGACACAACAGGACCCGCTTCAGAACGATGTGCTCCCGATGTGGGAGGCGGGCGTGAGGGTGAGACGGGTCTCTCCATACATTGTTTCTGAGTGACAAGTGTGTGGCGGGCCCCGGGGCCATCCCCTCCCAGGACTGGCGGTCTGTGACCCGACAGGAACGCTGTGCCGCTGGATCAGGACACGTTACATGTCCCGCTCTGTAGTCCTCTCCTCCTTCCGGGCAGGGCTCCCTCACAACGTGACCCGCACGCCCCGACCCGATTGTTCTGGAAGCAGCTGTACCTGCACAGACGTGGGGGGGGGGCTAGCCCCACGTGCCCTGAGCGCTGGCCCCAGAGCCGGGGGCCCTGGGATCCCACCTCCGTGGGACATCCTGGCACTTGGGCACAGCCCGGCCGCTCCAGCCTGCTCCCAGGGCAGTGACTTGGCGGCCCGGGGGAGGGGGCTCCGGGGACACGAGCAGCCCCCGCCAGCAGCAGGCGCCGTCCGCTCCGGGGAAGCCGCTGGGCATCCCTGCCAGACGTCAGCCCACAGCCGCCGGCTGAGCCTCGCATCCTCGCGGGACGTGGGCGGCCCTGCCCCTCCATGGGGTCCCTGCCGGGCCCCCCTGAGGGTGGAGGCGGGCGGCCCCTCGGCCGTCATGGGCCCGGGAGCTGCCAGCCCGACCCACCGAGCGGCGTCCAGCTCGCGTCTCCCCGCACAGCAGCGCCCAAAATCCCAGCAGGTCCAGATACGCCGTCTCCAGAGAATGACGCCTCCGCCAAGCTCGTCACACGCGTGGAAGTGAAGTTGGCACCGCAGCCGTCAGCAGGGACACACTCGGAACCCGGCGTGCGACAGCTCGGCTTCAGTGGGGGCACCTCCGGAGCAAGGCTAGGCCACGTGACCGCACGTGGGTGCCCACGGGATGCCGGTGGTGGGACCAGCTGCCCAGGGGAGTGAGGAGGGGTCCCAGCCGCCCCCAGGCCGTGCGCCGCTTGTCCCCTGGCCCCCAGGACACGTGGGGCTCAGCCCTCACTCCGCCCCAGGGAGATTGCTGGGCGCTGTAACTGTGTGACAAAGGTAGTGTGGCTGCGGGCTACCTGTGAGCATCTGAAAGGTTTGGGAAAAGAAAAATTGAGTAAAAAGAGGAAATGGTGTTAGTACAACAAACCTGGATTACACTTTATTTTATATATTATTTATTTACTTCCAAACTCTATCATTTATATAAATTTATCTTGTCATTCCGCAGATGTATTTTTCGATTTGTGAAAATTGTTTAGTTATTCTGGGTTGGGACAGAATGCATGTAATTTTGCATGCACTTAACAATGCAATTATTTTTGTTTTGAATACGGCTTTCTGGACCAAAGACCTATGGTTCCTACAATGTTAAACAAGATGTATATATTAAATATGTTACTATATACTTAATATGGAATATTTAAAGATCTATGTTTAAGGTTGTAGTTAATATCATGCACACAATTGGGGCACCTGGGGGGCTCAGTCGGTTAAGCATGACTTTGGCTCAGGTGATGATCTCGCGGTTCATGAGTTTGAGCCTTGCATCGGGCTCTGTGCTGACAGCTCATGGCCTGGAGCTGCTTCCGATTCTGGGTCTCCCTCTCTCTGCTCCTTCCCCACTTGTGCTCTGTCTCTCTGTCTCTCTGAAAAATAAGTAAACATTAAAAAATATGCACACAGTTAATGCAAACCTGACCTCTCCGTGAGGAGGAATCTTGGAAGCCGCCCCCTTGCAGGTGAGAACCCCTGCATTCAGGTGCAGGCTTTGCGCTGCTCTGGAAGGAGGGGCATCGGATTCACAGGGGGCGGGGGGTTCCATCAAATTTTGGAGTTTCTCTCTCTGTTTGGGGAGAATCAGCCAATCATCAGGCTCACCTTGTGGGCCCTGAGCCAGCCCGGAGCAGGGCTGGGGACCCTAGATAGAGGCTTGCCCCGCACAAGGGGCAAGGGAACCCCCTCCGACAGCTCACTGCCATTGGGCCATTGCATGCCATTTGCTAAAGAATATGATACCTGCCCATCCTGAAACCCGTCGCTAGAATGCCCATCTCATTTAAAGGACTTTTTAAGATAATCTCCTTTTTTAATTCCCAAGATCATTCTCTTCTAATGCTGTACCTTTCAAAGATGGAAAAAATGGGAGCACCCCTTAAATTTAATGACAATGTTATGTGTTAATCATGTGTCAACAAAGAGGAAAGCGGGGGAAGGGGGCTCTGCACACCTGCAATCTGCAATCAGAAAATAAGGTGAAAAAAACAATTCCACTTACAAGAATATCCAAAGCAATACAATTCGTAGAAATAAACGCAATCAAAGAAGTGAAAGACTTGTGGAATGAAAACAGATAAAATTGCTGAAAGAGACGAACACAGACCTACGTAAATGGAGAGACCACTGTGGTTACAGGTGCAAAGGGTGATTGTGGGGACAGAACCAGCAGCCCGTGCCTGCAGATTCAGGGCCGCTCGCCGGGAACCTCACAGCCTTACTTGCAGAAATGGAAAAGATGACCCTCAAATCCCTAAGGGATCGTGAGGCCTCCGAACAGCAAAACACTATTGAAAAGTAACAGGAAAGCTGGAGAACTCACACGTTCTGAGTTTGAAACTTGCTACGAAGCTACAGTGTCCAAAACTGCCCGAAGGACAGATCTACGAACTGACAGAATGGAAGACAGTGCAGATGATTTTCAAAGAGAGTTCCAAGGCTCCCCCCGTGAGGAAGGAATAATCTCCAATCAGGGACGTTGGATCTCACATGTAAAAGAATAAAGTCGACCCTTATCTCACGCTACATACAAAAAATGAACTTAAAATGAATCAGCAACCTAACTCTAAGAGCTAAAATCAGAAAAATCTAGATGAAAACACAGTTAAATCTTCACGACTGTGAATTTGGCAAAGGATTCTTAAATCTGACACAGAGAAGCATGAGTAACAGAACAAACAGTAGACAAATTGGACTCTCCCAAAATGAAAAACATTTGTGTATCAAAGAAGTAAAAAGACAAATCACTAAATGGGAGAAAGTATTTACAAATCGCAGATCTGACGGAGGCTGAGAATCCATGAAGAACTCTTACAAGCCAACAACAACGAAGCCAAAAAATCTCCATTAAAAACTGTGCAGCATAGGTGGATACACATTTCTCCAGAGGAGATGGACAAACGGCCCATAAGCAGGTGAAGGTGCTCAACGTCATTGGTCGTCAGGGAGACGAGACGTGAGTCAAAGCCACCGCACGCCCGCCGGGGTGGCTACAATGAAAGAGATAAGAGTGAGTCTGCCAGAACGTGGATATTGGGACCAATTGCAGGTCGAACAAAAAATGCATCAGCTGCTGCGGAAAACTGGTCGGCGGCTCCTCAGAAGGCTGACCAGGGAGGTGGCAAGTGAGACGCCGGCCAGTCCACTCCCGGACCTGCACGCCCAAGATGTAGAAACAGATGCTCAGACCAACACTGGTACCGGAACATTCTAAATGCACCACCCGGATGGTCCGAAGGTGGAAACAGTGTAAGCGGCCTTCGGCAGACAGGTCAACAAAAGTTTGCGAATCCGACGTATGATGAGGTGGTTCATCAGTAAGAAGGGGCAGCCCAGACACATGCGAGCGTGTGTGAATCTGAGTAATATTGTGTGAAGAAACCAGACGGAAGTTGCCTGTTGTACAATTGAAGAGCCTAAGTAACATCATTTTGAAATTAAGGCCTCCGTTAAGATTGACCTCGGCTGCACGTAGCCCCACGTCCTCAGATTGCTCAAGGCTAACGCCATCCTCAGACCACCCTCAGGTCAGCTAATCAAAACACATTCCTGTGGTCTGAGTCAAGGTTGGGAACTGTAGACAGTTATTCTGTACTAACTAGCCAATTTCTCACTGCTTGCCTGAACCCCATGTGGGCTCTTTGAACTCACCTCATAATTGGTCATTTTCAAAGGATTTTCAAAGGTCATGATTGGGTCCCACCAAAAGTAATGAACACCTCACAGATACTGAATGGTCAAAGCTGTTACCAGGGGTGCTGTACAATTGTAATTGGTGCTTATGTGATGATGCTATACGTACAACATGTGCACTGTAACACCCTTGTACCTTACTCCTACAATGGTACTACAATGGTAGGCGGGTGAGCCCCTGCTCAAGCTTGTAACAAAGACCCTTTTGTACTTGCATCGGTGTCGGCTCCTTGGGGGTCTCAGGGGACTC